CAAAAGATATTTTAGAACTTACTGCATCAAACATGAATTTCCACTTCTCTCCCGAAGCTTTGTCCACCTAAAATAACAGATGCAATGTGAAGACCAATGAAATACACTCAAGATAAAGTTTTGACCAATACAATATCTCTGTCATTCTGTCAGCTTCTTCTGTCAGGTCTCAGTTGAATGTTGGGTTTATAGTCTATAGAAGCTGTTTGATAAAATGCCAATGTTACCTTAAACTGTTAATGAGTGGAAGGACCACAGTTCAAGGTGAAGTAGCCATCGACCATCCACACGCACCCTCTCCCTGATAAGGCAGAGATAAGGCCCCCATATTTCCTCTTCACATCCGTCAGCTAGCAATCATACACACACAAAACATAAATAAATCTTCTCAGCCCATTTTTGTTGCCACTTGTGTATTCTATACGTACATAATCATAATCCTGACCACCGAACCCAGATCGATCCTGGCGATGGCCGCCACCACCACCACAGCAGCTGCTACCTCCCATTTCTTTGGGACCCGTATCCTGCCCCAGAAGCCAAGCTCTGCCAAATTTCAAGCCAGGTTTGGGTTTGGGTTTGGCAAAAAGAAAGCTCCAGAACCCCCAAAAAAGTCATTCTCCAAATCACTACCATCCGAACGTCTCGTCTGGTTGCCGGGGGCAAACCCGCCGGCCTGGCTCGATGGGACCATGATTGGTGACCGTGGGTTCGACCCGTTCGGATTCGCTAAACCGGCGGAGTACTTGCAGTTCGATTTGGACTCGCTGGACCAGAACTTGGCCAAGAACGTGGCCGGCGAGATCATCGGGGTCAGGACGGAGGTCACGGAGATCAAACCGACGCCGTTTCAGCCCTACTCGGAGGTATTCGGATTGCAGAGGTTCAGAGAGTGCGAGCTGATTCACGGGAGGTGGGCAATGTTGGGCACTCTCGGCGCCATCGCCGTCGAGGCACTCACCGGCGTTTCATGGCAAGACGCCGGAAAGGTAGGTGTTGTACAATGCATATTGTTCCATCCATCGGCATCGCATCCAATTTTTATAAATTCTGATAATAATCAATACATTTTCGTAATATCCCTTCTCTTTGATTGGAATCATAAACTCCTTATTTTACAAACTAAAAAAAAATGTAAAAATGAAAAAAAGAATGTAGGCCTCTTAATTTATTCATCCTTAAAATTTAATTATAATTATTTATACTCAAATAATAGTGGAAGAATTCAAATAAATAAGTCTTATGTTACACAAGTTTATAATTTCTAATAAAGTTAATGTTTTATTTATTTGTATCTTGTTGGCATTAGCTTTTATGTGATGAAGTATAATTGAAGTATAATTATTAATTGACGATGAACTTGTAATAAAATTTATCCCAAAAAAATTCGTCTTCTTTTCTTGCTACTAGATTTTCAGGCAAGTATATTCTTTTTTTGGGCTTTCAAGCAAGTAAATTGTATTTGATTATATATTGAGAAAAAGTATCATATTAGAAAAAGTGTTTATCAAAACCTTTTAAAATTAAGTTGTTTTAATAAATTTTTATTAAAAAATTAAAATAATTTATTTTAAATTAAGAATTAATTTATCAATCTTTTTAATAATATTTGAATAAAATAATAAAATTTTAAAATATTTTTTAAAATAATTTTTTAAAATTTTAAGTAACAAATACAAATCTCGTATATATTTCTCTATCAACAATTTGTTGGTGTATTCTTTGGATGATAGATGCAGTCCAGCTGCAGTAAATTGTGTTAATTTTAAAGAAATTATTCTTCAAGGAAATCAGCTTGTGCAGCTCCGGTTGGGCCTGGCAAAAGTGCACTAAAACCATGGTCATGATCCCAAGTCGCCCAGCGACAAGATTGTAAAAATCTCCCCTCTTCTCCAAAATCCCCCAATGTTAAAAAAGAAAAAAATCATGGAAATCAAATATGGACCCCCTATGAGAAAATGGCTTGATGTGAAATTCTTTTCATCGTGTCTTCTTATAATCCAACCAAACATTTGTGATAAATGTAGTTGATGATAATAATAGTGGTAATGAGTCTACATCGATGAAGACAAAGCCAAAGACGGTGACCCATTGAGAAAGTTTCCTTCTTTTTTTTTTCCTTTTTTATTTGGAGGGTTTGATTTTGTTTGGTTGCAGGTGGAGTTAGTGGAGGGATCATCTTACCTTGGCCAACCACTGCCTTTCTCCTTGACCACATTAATATGGATAGAAGTTTTGGTAATTGGCTACATTGAGTTCCAAAGGAATGCAGAACTTGACCCTGAGAAGAGGCTGTACCCTGGGGGCTACTTCGATCCCCTTGGCTTAGCCTCTGACCCTGAGAAGATTGACAACCTCAAGCTGGCGGAGATCAAGCATTCCCGGCTAGCCATGGTCGCCTTCCTCATCTTTGGATTCCAGGCTGCGTTCACCGGAAAGGGTCCTATCGGCTTCATTGCTACCTTGAACCAGTGATCCACTTTTGTATAATATTAAATCACCTTCGTCCGTCACTGTCCCTTTTTCTGATTTGTATGTTTTGTGTTGTAACAAAACATATGTTAATTGGGAATTTAACTAATGGACCGACCAAATTCACATTAATATTAGTAAATGATGGTCTAGGTGACTCAGATTATCACATATCCTCGTCTACAAGTTGGAAGAAGATTAATGATCTTTGTACTCAACTTTATTTTTGATTAACTAGTATTTACTTAAATAAACATTTTTATTGTAATATATGTAATTTAAAAAAAAATTAAGATAAACTAAAAATAAACACATTATATAATATTTTTTAGTAAAAAATAAAAAAACTAATTTGAAACACTCCCAATTATCTTCGTAAACTGAAGTTGAAATAAGAGTACCCCAAAAAAATTATCAATTTTGACATGAATATTTCAATTTTAATTAAAAAAAAATTAAGTTTCATATGACATCAACCACATGTATGATAAATGATTTGGTCTGGTTTAGGCAAATTACTTAGCTAGTTAATGTATTTAAAAAGATAATATATTTTTTTTATTAACAAGAATTGCTATTTTTATCATTATTTTATTTTTGATAATCTGGTCATTTATGGTTGCTTTTATTAC